TCAAACTTAGTGAAGGCCAGAGGTTACAGAGGGCAGAGATTTTTGAAAAAACTGAGAGTGAGTGAACCAAAGGGACACGTCATGTAATATTTCAACGTTTGCATGTATTTCCAAAGAAAGCGTTCCTCTTCAGACAGTGCTGTTTCTCATCTCTTCTCAGTCAGATCGTTGGACAGAAATATTTAGTCTTTTATTGTGCCAGTCATGAATAAATGTTGAAATGAAATACACAGTGAAGACGTCTGTCATTTTTTAGATGTGTATTGACACACACTTGAGGGACTGCATTAAAGGCCATGTCTGTAACCCCAGCAGAGCGCTCTGCCAACACACAATATCTGCTTTAGCTCTGCACAGATTTGCGCAGTGTTTGCGAGCCCACATGTCACGGATGCCATTGCCTGCTGCTGCATATGGAAACCGATATTTAAAGTGTGTATTTTCACAAAGACTGCTGAGCAAATGTAAACCACACAACAGAACAACAGGAAGTTGCTGTGTCCCTGGTGGGAAGAGAGCTGCTTTCCATTCAGTTATACATCTCCTGACCATGTTACTCCAAGGTCTCTCCGAGTTATGACATCATCCGAAGTAGGTAGAACGCGTTCCGCACTGCTTAATGACTGTGTTTTAGGGCATCTATCCCATCAGTAAAAGACTGTCGGGATCTGTCCGAGTGGAGCACTGCTTTATAATTTCGCTCCTCTTAGGTTTCCAGCTTTAGCACTTACGACAAAGTGCCTGCGGCCTCTGAGCTCTCCGTGTGCAGACGGAGCGTGTTATTTTCATCTTTCCTTCTGCGTTTGCATTATCTGCAGTGCTAAGCAGAACCCGGAGAGCAGAGTGACAGACCAAAAGCATATAGGAGACCGCCGCCATATTCGTCCCCTCTGTCAGAACTGATAAAGGCACAGTGAAATGCTCTGTGATTCGTCTCTATTTAAACACGCAGGATTGGAGTGAAAGCACTAGAGCTGCATGAAAATACCTCGACATGTGTAAGGTGAGCGTGTCTCTCTGTCACACGCTGCTTTTTTTTTTTCTTTGTGCAGAGATTAGGCCCTTGCCAACCTAAATGATTACTTCAGTCAACACGGTACAAGCTTGTGACACTGCAGAGCGTCCCTCTAACTGATCTGCTAAATGTCAGCAAACTGCTTTTGAGTGTAATCTTAATTTGACTTGGAATTAGTCTTTTTGCTGTGAAGATCTAATTATTCAGACAATTCTTTGCCTTGTGAGAACTTTGGGAAAAGATCAGCCATGCCATGGCTGATGAGAGAAGGAGAATGAGGGAGAACGGGAAGCAGAGAGAGAGAGAGAGAGAGAGAGAGAGAGAGAGAGAGAGAGAGAGAGAGAGAGAGAGAGAGAGAGAGAGAGAGAGAGAGAGAGAGAGAGAGAGATTGTGCGATTGTGAGCTTTCCCAGACGTTGCCCAGAGGCACCTTCATGTTCTCTCTGAGCTACACGAACATGAATGGTGAATGACAAAAAAGAACTGTTCACTTTTCAGTAATGAACAAAGAAAATGTACATGTATGTGCATATATATATATACGTATATATATATATATATATATATATATATATATATATTATATTATATTTTGCATGTATTTCCAAATATATTATATGCACATCCATGCACACTTTCTTTGCACATCCATGCACACTTTCTGTATATATATATATATATATATATATACAGTATATATATATATATATATATATATATATATATATATATATATATATAACCAAATATATATACTTACTTGAGAGAATTCCATAAAAAACTTTTCACTTTTTAGTGATGAACAATAAAAGTGTGCATGAAAGTGGATATACACATGTACATATATATAACCAAATATACATAATTACTTGAGACAGAATTCTGTAAAGAACTGTTCACTTTTCAGTAATGAACAATGAAAGTGTGCATGAACATGCATAAACATAATCTGCTTACTTGAGACAGTTATGACAAGCATGCTACAGCCGGTCTGATTTTAAGTTAGATGTTTCCCCAAAATCTATCATCTCCATTCCAAAGCCATAGAAAAAAGTCCCACAGGACAAAACAAAATGCAGATGTTCACAAGATTGTGTTCTAGGTTTATATTTTTCCATTGATTTATGGTCTAAATATTGTCATGCTTTCCTGGGACGCAGTAATGTGAGTTCCCATGTCTCAAGTTCATTTGTATAGTATTTCACATGCACCTGCTCCCAACAAAATAAGTGTAAGTCTCCAAGATAAGCACGTTTTAGTTTATACACGCATTTTAAACAGAAAATCATTAAACCTAATTTGTGATTGTGTGGTTTTTACATTGTCCTGCAAATATCCTGCAGGAGTTTGAAATGGCAAAATAAACGCATACTCTTTGTGAGCTTGGTGTTAACGTCAGTGTTCATGTGATCAAGCCGGCAGATTATAGAACCTTAACATCATTTATGCGTGTTTACTTTTGGTTTTAGACACACCAGTCCGCACACACGCGCACACACATCAGTCATGTAAAACAATTATACGCACGCTTTGCATTCTCCAAATCCGCACTGCTTTAAATAATTTAGAGAATGATCCCTGCTAAGTAAAGCTAATTGTGCTGTGGTGTGGTATACCGCTGTAATAGTGCAGGAGAAACGAAAGTTTAATAAAAAGAAGAAAATATAATTACGAAGAATAATATAAAGAGTAAAATTAACATTTCGCTATTTTTTTTTTATTATTTAAGTTTAATTTCTTTGACACTATCTGAAACTTTATGGAGTAATCTCCCGGAATTGATAAATAACTGAAAAAATAAATAAATAAATAAATAAATAAACAAATAAATAAATAAAAAGTAATATTACGCATTCATATTAAGAATTGGCTACGCTATTTTTAGATAGGCCTACATGTTTTACTTTTTTTTCTACAACATGTAATTACCTACAAGAACTACCTGCATCCAATTCCGTATCCTGAATTAAAGTTTAAAAATAAATATCGGAGTATATATATATATATATATATATATATATATATATATATATATATATATATATATATAATTTTACTTTTATATTAAATTTACTGAAATTTAATGAAAGCCTGAAAGAATATACAAGCTGTGTTACAATCGCTCTAATAAGTGCTCAGTAAAATTGTCGGAAATTTAATTTCGTTGCTTTTAAAATAGATTATTTAGCTCCAATGTTTTTTATATTACTTTTTCGTCCATCGGTGTCATTGCAACACAGTCTCATGAAGATGCGTATCTATACCACGAGTGTCATTTCTCGTGGCATTTATACGCCAAAAGTGTTTTTTTCGTGTATATGTGACATCGGGCTGGTCATTTTGCTAACCGTCTGTAACATAATTAATAATTTTTAAGACACCTGTAGGTCTATATCACGTTCAACAACAAAAACAACTAAATCTGTTTGCGAAAACAATTTTATGCATTTGAATGACGAATAGGCTTATGTAATATATTTCTGTTCAGATCATTTTTAAAGCACAAAACTCTTTGGAATAATTGGAAATAAATGTCCCGTGCATATTACTAATTATTATTATTGTGCGGCAAACTTTCAAAAAGATTCCGTGTTTACTGGGAAGTGAATTCGTTTAAGTTTTATTATTATTAGGCTATTATTTATTTTTATTCTTATGAGGGAAAAAATATATAAAATGGATACTTCATAAAATGGTTATTTTTCCCCGCGGAATTATTATTTGCCATCTGCGGTTTAAATGTCATTCAGTCGATATATAGGTAGCGCTTACTTTTTTATGAAAATGAAAAAAGAAAGCGTAACCTTTCACGTGAGGGAAATGTAAATATATATATATAATAATCTTTGTTGTTGTTTTGTTTTTTCCTTGAGCAATGTGTTTTTTTCTTTGAGCAATTTCTGATCATCAAAGAAAAAAAAGTTTATTTTCGGTACAATGAATTCCCTCTTCAGTTTGAAATGTAATTAAGAAACAGGGCTCCTCCTTGGAAATTATTTAAAAGTTTTATTTGTAAACATTAAATGTTCTTTTCTCGTGGAGTTTGATTCGGATTCGGAACCGAACCGAACGCGTATATTTAGTTAAACCATAGAAAAAGGCAGTGATGATTTTCACACACCTACAGGGGAAAAAATGACAAATTAAATCACATATGAGACATTCAACAAAGACGACGGTGATGCGTCTGAAATCATTTCAACTGCACCATGCTTTAACGGCAAACTCAAAATAAATATATAAACGTTTATATTAAACAGCAACAATACAGCACATACAAACAAGGAATGTCTGACAATTTTACAAACACTATGGGTCCCTTTTTACCTGTACAGATGATACTGGTATTTTTATCCACATGTGCCATATTTAAAAGCTGTCCCAATACTACGAATCTTTATAAAATCTAACAGACTACATAGTGTCCGGAATATAGAGTGTGTAATAGAGACAAGAGTCCTCTACAACATGCGTCTCCTTTCCACCTGACAGAGATACACAGGCACAAGTTATAAAAGAAAGGAAAAAAAAACTGTCTCTGTACAAGCTTTATACACATCATATAAATTACATAAATCTATTGAATAGGTATATAGAAATGGCGTATGATACACTCCACTCTACTACTCTGATTTTTCCAAGAATACAGACGTTTTGCAGTTAACAATGATTAGTGGCGAGATATTTGTCATTGTTCAAAATCAGGCAAAGTATTGGATAATCTGTCTTTTATTATAATTTCTCATATTATTATTACTTTTTTTTTTTTACATTTGCATCTGTTCTGAGATACTCAGAGGCAGATAATGGGTGGGATAAAGAGGGGAAAAAAATCGCTTGCCGATGGCAAAGTGTATAATTATTAGGCTATTTTATTTATTTTTTTATAGTTTTCGCGTGGAGTTTTCCAGCCTTTAAATTGTTGGATCATTTTTCATTTGGCGATGGTTGGCATGGTTTGAAAAAAAAAAAAATCAGACTTTCAGTTTTTTTTTTTTTTTTTTTTTTTTTTGGGAGTCTGTGGAAGTTCTCTGAGGTTGTTTGAAATAGTTTTTCCCCTTCTCTCTCTCTTTCCGTTTAAAAGGGCAGAGTGTCAAGAAACAGTTTGTCGATTATTGCTGGTGGTGGGACCAGATCTTCTAGTTTTAGGTAGAAGATGCGCTGCAGACCCTGTGTGCACAGTGTGCGCAGTTCAGGTAGTTTCCCCAACAGTTTGGACAAATAGTTCGGACGATTCAAGCCGCCTCCATTGAAGGTGACTTGATCTTTCAGACAGTTTACTATCTTGTTTTGAAGGTCCTCAACTCTCTTGGGTTCTTTAAGTCCGTGTCTCTCTGCAAAATAATAATACTTATTATTATTATTCTAGCTTATAAGAACATGCCATAAAAAAATAGTAATTCTCTGAACGGTATAATAAAACGGATCTTACCTGTGACCATAGCTAAGGCGGCGATGCATGAGAAAGCAGACATGTCTAAATTCATGTTCTGAAGATTAGACGAGAACTCCACTATAGAGTCAATCCACTCGCCAAATCCACGCACGCACTGCAGTCTGTGCAACACCGCCCCGTTACAGAAGATGAGTTTGCCTTCCATCGGGTTGGACCTGAAATTAATGACAAAGCGCCCATTAATTACTGCGCGCATTAAACGGGGATTTAAGCGGCTCATGATTATTGCAGAGCCAATAAAATTTGAAGCAGCAAATCCACTTCTCAAGAAGCCTCGGTACCTGTACGCCAGGCGCAGCACGAAAAGCTCCAGGAAGGCGGACTCGAACAGCAAGTCCTGATCCGGTTTCGGCAGGTCGGTGAACCCGGGAATCTTTTCTGCCCATCCGCGGATGATCTCCATGGATCCGGTGAGGAGGTCGTAGAACTGCTGGATGTGCTGTGTGTCATCTCCGCTCAGTTGGTAGTCCGGGTTGGCTTGGAACTGGAATTTAATTTAAACATGACTTAATGAGCTCCCTTAAAATATATAACCCGTGAAATTGCAAAGCCCATTTCTAAAAGGGGAGAGTTTCCCCCCTCTTTAATTTAACTTGTGTCTGTATTTCACTGGCTTCTTTCTTGCAAAAGCAATTTAGACAGTAAAATATGCCACCCTTAAAGTGTTGAAAGTTTATAATGAAACACTGTATGATATTAAATTCCTAATATTGGCTCTGTCAGTTTCGCGCAGGGTGCGCATCAAAAGTCATCCGCGAGTCATATATGGACTTTCCTCTCTTAAAGTCTAAGCTGATGGGTAAAATTAAAGATGAATGTAATATAACTCACTCTGGTGTAGTCGAGGCTGCTCATAGAAGGGTTGGAGTCCACATGAGCCCTGACCAGGGCGCTGATCAGACTGACGGGCGGAGAGGGGGGCGAAGACTCCTGCGGACTTTTGGGTTTGGAGGGTAAACGGCCTCGCCGACCCTTTAAGCTGGCGGTTCGGACAACTGTCAAAACAACACAAGACTGTTACTATCAACGAGCTGTTGTGCGTGATGTAAAATGTATTTATAATTAAATCGGGGATAACTATATTTGCAGTTGCACTCTATTTTCCAAGTGAGGGAAACGTTCTAATGAACAGGGATTGAGATGCATACATCCCCTCCGCACGTTTGAGAAGTGTAGACAAATATTGTAGCGATTTACCTTCTTTTACCATCCCGACCACCAGGCACTTCTGAAATCGGCAATACTGACATCTGTTTCTCCGGCGCTTATCCACAGGACAGTTTTTGTTGGCTAAACAGACATATTTGGCGTTCTTCTGTACTGTACGCTAAAAAAAGTGGGTAATAAGATTTCGTTTAAATGACATCAGATAAACGTTTGACAATTTAAGAAATAAGCATTGATATTATTTTATGTGTATATGATCTTTGATCACATATGGAGCAAAATAAAATATAAATATAGCCTAAACGCCTAGTCCTGAAATGCCAGTTCATGTCTCATTTTACTCATGTTATTAGAGAAAATCGAAATGAGCGGCGACCAAACCACAAATTTATATTTTTATTAATAATAATGATAAAAATATAAATACCTTGAAGAAGCCTTTACACCCTTCACACGTTCGCACTCCATAGTGCTGACACGCCGCGTTGTCCCCACACACCGCGCACAAACCCTCGGTGGACGGTGATCCTCTAGACGGAGGTGACGGCACCTGACTGTCCATCAGCTGATGGCCGTGACTGAGCTGTAGGGAGTGTGTGAAAGCGATGCCCGCCTGTTTCCTGATAGCACTGGGCACTGCGAAACTCTGGCTGTCCAGGGCTCGGTGCGTTCCGGGACCGTCGTGTCCCATGGACACATGGAGAGGCCCGTCAAAGCGCATCTGACAGCTTGAAACAGGTGTTCCTGGTGGAGACTGCTTGAACGAGAAGAGGGAGAGCCTGGACACGGGGTTCTTGCGCTGATCTATCATGTGCGAGGTCATATAGTTCTGATGAAAAGAGTGCAAGGAGCCCGGGTCCTCCCACATGTGATTGGGCTGAACCTGGAAGTTCGCCGTTCCCGGAGCGTGAGGTGATGACGGTTTGAAGTACATAGGCCCGGAGTGGGCCATCATCTCCTCTGACTGCGGGCCCAAATGGCTCTGCTGATGGTATGTGTGCATCTGGACTTCCTCCACCTTGATAGAGGACTGTTCTCCAGAATGGGGCACCTGGTAAAGACAGGGCGGCTTCACGTCATAACTGGTGTTGTAGTTGTCCATGAAGGTGCTGAAGCTGGGCAGAGAGGTGGTGGCGGCGGTGATCTCGGTATTGGTTAAGTCCATGCTGAACTTCACAAACTCTGGTGTGAGGAAATCGCAGCTGTATTCACCGCTGGTGTGGTAACTGTAGCTCTGAGATGCAGGACTGGCGCCCTGCGGGGATGAGCCATACTGAGCCTGGACGCAGGGCATGGCTGCGAACAAAACAGGAGCCTAATCAATACAAAACAGAAAGACAGCCTGAGAATAAAAGCCGAATGGCCATCGAAAGCAGTTTTCAGCTTACGTGCAACTTTGTAAAATCACTTTTCAGTGAAAAGTACCTTCAGTCGTGGGACTGTTCCACTGCAGATCTTGATGAAGGTGGTGATAACAACAGATGAAATGTATTACAGGAGTTCAAGACAAACGACTCGGCTCTGGATTCTCCCTCTGATAAAACACACAACTTTCACTTGATTTTGCATCACATTTGAGTAGTTCCATGTAGCAACTAGCCTATACAAAATGCTATAGCTCACTGAAACTTAGAAATTTGAAACACTTTCTTGCGCCGTATCTGAACATGTACATATGCGAGATGGATCGAAAGTTTAAGTTTTTGCGCACCGCGTTCGTTTATTTGTTTTTACTCTCGAGTTTAATGCATTTTGATAAATGCATGACTGAACAATCACAATTTCACATAAATTTCACAGTTCCACATAAGCCAGAGCTGGTCTCTGGTCTCAGACAAGGACTGAATAAAAACTGATTTGTCATCGCAGCTATAAGAAAAACAACAAAATAGTTTGCATAAAACCAGCAGAAACCAACAAACAGAAATCACAAACTGTTTAAAGCAAAGATGCCACAGGACAAATTTGCTATGCTTACTTTAAACTGCATATTTGCACACACACACACACACACAATGACATACCTTAGTAGACCATCAGCAAAACTATATTGTATCCATATGCTTGTGATGCAGAATATGTGTGTAAATGTCCAGTACGGCGTGTTGTCCGCACAGCTCGGAGCTCAACACTGGCATGTAGAGCTCTGTCTGCCAATGTGTCTTTGTTTATGTGAGACCCACGTGCTTGAGTCCAGTACGTCATCTGCGTCATATGTGAGTAGCACCAATCAGCTGCGAGACTCTTCTGCCAATCTGAGGACTGACTGACAGCCGGTACATGCCTGTGATTTCACCAAGATCTGCTGTATTATATATTCCCCATGATCGAATAGCAATGTACCTCTGTTTTGTGATGCATATTTTAGTAGGCACAGTATAATTTGATAAACGCAAATAAATTACAATAAAAAAAATGTTTCACACAAAACAGTGTGAATAAAGATAACAGTGTGAATGATAGGGGCAGTATTTATGTTCTCAGTTTTTTTTTTTTAAATATATTGAACTTTTTTTTTTTTTTTCTCAAAAAAGATGGTTTGGTAAATGCTGCTAATATTAGTTTAAACACAAACAATATGGAGCCATTGATCAATACTCTGTGAAACAGCAGTGGAAATGAAATAATAAATAAATTGATAGAACTACATCTCAACAAATATGGCTTTGAGTAGGCCCTGTTGTTGACTAAACTCAACACACCCCAGCTTTTATTAAACAAGAGCTTCCCTTTTAAGACAGCATAGGTCTTATACAGACTCTTTACATCTTTGCATCTATTTGTACAAGTTTTCCAGGAGGTGGAAGATGGGTCATTAGCAGAGGGGTTCTTATGGTCGTTTCAATTTAATTGCATTATTGTTATATACTGTTATAAATACACATGTTGAAAGTAAAGAAATGTGATGCAGAAAACAACGGCTTTGACACAGCCCATGCTGCAGTCTAGAAAAATAGGACACTTCCTCTCAAACAGTCTTTGCCCTGTTGTATCTGACTGGTGGGTGTTATTGTTATTTGAGACAGGTCATCATGTGAAAAACCAACACAGTTTCTAATTATAATTTATTCTCTCTGCCACAAAGGACAGTTCTTGGCCTTATAGTTAAAACCACAATGTAAAAACCTCTGCTCATTCCCCTTTCTATGACAAAAGAAATGAAGGCCTGTGAGGTTTTCTCAATACCTCTTACAAAACTGATTGTATTCTGGCTGTATGATGTTTGCTGAGCTAAAGCATGGTGTTCTCCAAATGGAGGTGGTAGTCACCTCTAGAGGACACTGTTGTTCACCGCCCACTTGACAATCATTTTGGATTATGTTTTATATAATATTGTGTTATAAATGCATGCAAATACAGCAATGTATTCTAGCCTTATGTCGAGCAAATTGTCAATGAGCCAGAGACACTTCTCTACCATTCAAGACTGATATGTGGGGACAGAACATCTCCATGATGTCTCATTTTAAAAAACAGACATGTTCCACATAACCAATGACAGGCAAAGCGACCAGCCATGTGCTCAACACCTGATTGGGTTTATTGCTATATCTAATGTTTATATCCACATATGGTCTGCTTTCATTTACCTTTTTAATGAAGGGAAATTACATACAATTAAGCAATAATTGCCCATTGGCTCATTTAATTACTAACTGCCTTATATATATGCATAGTTTAATCACTGCTCATGGGGAAGAAGAGGCAGCAAATGAAGAGCAATCAAATTGGACTGAAGTTATTTCCCAATTATTAAACGCTGAAGAATGCATGTGTCGTGTGTGTGTGTGTGTGTGTGTGTGTGGTCCTGGTGTTATGAGGACCGAATGCCTCTACGAGGATAGTACTACTAATTGTTGGCCTTGCGGGGACATTTTTGGTCCCCAGGAGCAAAACAGCTTATAAATGACACTAAATTATGTTGTTGTTGTTTTTGTTGTTGTTTTTAAATGCATTAAGCCTTCTGGTGGCTGTAGGGTTAGGGGATTGAATTTACTGTTTGTACAGTATAAAATCATTATGTCAATGGAATGTCTCAAGAAAATATGTGTGTGCTAGTGTGTGTGCTGCTGGGTATGCATTTCAGAGGGGAATGAATATATATAAAGATATAATAAGAATCCAGACTTTAACAACTTTAACAACTATAAAAAACAAAAAGACAGAGAAAAAAAAAAATTTCAGGGAGTAGCGTGTTTGACAGGGGCTGTCCATTCAGCACTATAACCTGGAAACTGAACAGGTGAAGTCCATGGACAGCGCTATACATGTTTGAGTTGAATGTGTATGTTGCTCATGTTAGACCGTCTAGAGTCAGGGCAGAAAATCGAAGGTGTTCCAGTGTCATTTAAAATTTTAAGGTTACCTTTAATTTAAGGGTTACCTTGATTGTGTGTTGGCCTGAATATAGTATATTTAAGACCATTAAAGGAGTAGTTCACTTAAAAAAAAAAAAAAAAAAAAAAAACTTTTTGCTGATAATTTCTCACCCGCATGTCATCTAAGATGCCCTTGTCTTTTCTTTCTTCAGTCAAAAAAAGAATTAAGGTTTTTGAT